TACACACACACACAAACACACACACACACACACACACACACACAGAGAGAGAGAGAGAGAGAAAGAGAGAGAGAGAGAGAGAGAGAGAGAGAGAGAGAGAGAGAATAAATATAAAAATATGAAGTATTACTTGAATCTCCACAGTTGTGTCAATTAGTCTGGGATGTGAATCTTGCATTTCATTCAATATTGATTATCCCTTACTTTTCAAACCCTCTCTAGTCACAGGCACGGACACAGAAGAGTGTCCCTAAACATCACTGTGGTAACACAGTTATTTTTTTGATGCTGGGCCTTCTGAACCTGACAGGATTCCTGAAGCCTTCAGGCCCCTTCATCTTCCCCCAAATGACTTAAAACTGCTCAGTTCCAGCTATGTCTTCACCGTCCTCCTCCCACCACAAGTGTGTCATGGTCTTTGCTGTGTCCTTGTACAGAACTCAGCACTAGCTGGACTAACAATGTACCCTCAGCTCACAACTGATGGAAACTCTCCAGAAGTCAAGTCTGCGGCATTGCATTTTAGAAAAGTTTTTGCTTTCTTTTTTCTTTTTTTTTTAATTTTTGTTATTTGAATTAGAAACAGGATTGTTTTACATGACAATCCCAGTTCCCTTCTCCCTCCCTGTCCTCCTCTACAACTCCACCCCCAACTAAAGCCCTATCTAGCACATATCCTTTCTGCTCCCCCTGGATGGTTAGACCTTCCATAGGGTGTCATCAGAGCCTATTGTATCCTTTAGGATAGGGCCTAGTCCCACCCCTGTGTATCTTGGCTCAGGGAGTATTCCTATATACGGAATGGGCTCCCAAAGTCCACACCTATGCTAGGGATAAGTACTGAACTTCTACAGGAGGTCCGGTAGATTTCCGAGGTTTCCTCACAGAAACCCATGTTCTTGGGGTCTGGAATACCGTGCTGGTATTCCAGCTATCAGTCTGGGGAACAAGAGTTCCCCTATGTTCAGGTCAGTTGTTTCTGTGGGTTTCACCAGCCTGGTCTGGACCTCTGTGCTCTTCACTTGTCTGCATCTGGATTCCAGTTCAGTTCCATGATTAGTTGTGGGTGTCTGCTTCTACTTCCACCAGCTGCTGGATGAGGGCTATCGGGTGGCATATAAATCAGTCATCAATCTCCTTATCCGGGGAGGGCATTTAAGGTAGCCTCTCCTCTGTTGCTTAGATTGCTAGCTGCTGTCATCTTTGTAGATCTCCAGACATTTCCCTAGTGCCTGATTTCTCTGTAAACCAAAAATGTCTCCCTCTATTATGGTATCTCCATTCTTGTTATCATCTATTGTTCCCCTGACTCAACCTTTCTGCTCCCTCATGTCCTCTGCATCCCTCCTCTTCTCCCCTTCTTGTTCTCCTTGCTTGCTTTCTTCACTTTGGATGGGTAATTGTAATCCCAGGGTGGAAATGTTATTCAGCTCTGTGGTGTCTACAGGGTCCATTTGTAGGGTCTGCCACAGACAAGTATGGGTGTCAAAGCATATGCTGGTTAATATTTTCATTTACTGCATCATGATATTTTATATGTGAAATCAATTACAATCATTCATATCTGGTCATCTGATAAGTGAATAGAAATACTGTAGTGACATGGGGACAATTTGGAGGTTTTCTGCAATGAATTCAAGTCCCAGGTTCAGAGCAAACTATTTAAGCTTTCTTTTCCTTGACTTCCTTATTTTCCAAAAAAAATATTGTTTCCTTCTGTACATTGGTGTTTTGCCTGCATGGACCTCTGTGTGAGGGGAGGGTGTCTGATGTCCTGGACTGCAGCTACAGGCAGTTGTGAGCTGCCATGTGGGTGCTGCGAACTAAACCTGGGTCCTCTGGAAAAGCAACCAGTGCTCTTAACTGCTGAGCCATCTCTCCAGCCCCAACTTCCTTATTTCTGAAATGAGAACATCAAAATACCTACTTGATGGGTGGTTGTAAAGATGAAATGAGAAAAAGCACACAAAATGCTTAGTTCAATAGTATTGGGTTTATAGTAAGTACTTATTAATGTTCATTATAAAATATGATGAGGGGAAACAATAGCATGAGACAACATGCATTGCTCTATGCTTACTACAATGAAATGAACGTGGCTACCAGCAACCATGTTGTTAGTTAACTCTCCTGGACTTGGTCATGGTACAAACTTAAAAATCATACCATTTGTTCAACATTTCCTCATTTTCTCCAACTTTCTGCTGCTAGAACCACTGTTCTACCCTTTATGTCTAAAACTTTGACCATGCTTAGAGCACATATAAATGAAACCATGTAATATTTCTCTTCTAATCCTGGTTTCTTTCACTTAGCACAATGTCTTCTGGTTTATTCCATTTCACCAATGCTAAGATTTTCTTTTTTTATAATCATTAAGCAATAATCACATAGAGCACTTTTTTTACCTATTGTATATATCATAAGACACTTGAGTTGTTTTCCAAGCACATGTGAATGGAGATCTCTTTGGGAGATGCTGGTTTTATTTCTTCTGAACACATAACAGAGCTAGAAACTGCTGGGTTGCATATGTCCTAGTTAGGCTTTTCATTTGTTGTGATAATCTACTGGCCATAACCAACTTAGAAGGGAAAAAGTTTGTTTAGCTTACACATCCCCTTCACAATCCATCACTGAGTGAAACCAGAACAAGACCTCAAGGCAGGTACTTAATGAAGCAGAAATCACAGAGTATCACACCTTAAGGACTTATTCCCCATGGCTTGCTCAGCTTGCTTTCTTATACCATCCAAGATCACCCAGGTAGTGTGGTGATTTGAATGAGAATGGCCTCCATAAGCTCATATATTTTAATGCTTGGTCTCCAGTTTATTTGTGACTCCAGAACTATTTGTGACTGATTAAAGGTGTGGATTTGTTGGAAGAAGCATGTCTAGGAGAGGGGGAAGCAGGCAGGCTTTGAGGTTTCAAAAACCCAAGCAACTCCCAGTTAGCTCTGTCTGTCTCCTACTTAATAGATCAAGATGCAAGTTCTGGGCTTCTGCTCCAGTGCCATTTGTGCTTGCCTGCTGCCATTCCCTGTCCCTGTGATGGTAATGGACATTAACCCTCTGGAACTGTGAACCCCAAATTAAACATTTCCTTTTATAAGTTTCTTTGGTCATGGTGTCTCTTCACAGCAATAGAAAAGTAACTAAGACAAATGGCAACACCCACAGTGGACTGCACCCTCCTGCATAATCATTAATCAATAAAATACCCCCTACACATAATGTTTACAGGCAATCTGATGTGGGCAACCCCTCAATTGAGGTACCCTCCCAAGAAGACTCCAGCATATGTCAAGTTGGCAAACAAACAAATGATAATTCCAATTTAATTTGGTTTTGTGGGGGGGGGAGGTCCTTTGCATAGCCCTGCCTGTCCTGGAACTCACTCTGTAGACTAGGCTGGCCTCAAACTCAGAGAGACCTTCCTGCCTCTGCCTCCTGAGTGCTGGGATTAAAGGTGTGCACCTCCATGCCCTCATGGTTTTTGAAGAATTTCTGTACTATTTTCCATAAATACCTATTTACAGCCCCATAAGCTGTATGTAAGTTATACTTTCTCTACATCCTAACCACTACTCATTATCTCTTATCTTTTTTATAATAGCTATCCTAACAAGTATAATATCTCATTGTGATTTTGATTTGCATATCCCTAATAATCAGTGATATCAACTCCTTTTTCATATACCTGCTGGTCATTTGCATGCCATTTTGGGGGAAAGGCACCTATTTTGATTCTATACACATTTAAAAATCATTTATAAGCATTAGAGAATTGCTTTTTAATGATTAAAAAGTCTCAAAAACTAAGCATATAGAAATTGGGAGCTTCAGGCCAGATAACGGTGGTACACACCTTTAATCCTAGCACTTGGGAGGCAGAAGCAGGTGGATCTCTGTAAGTTCAAGGCCAGCCTGGTCTACAAAAAGAATTCCAGGACAGCCATAGCTATTACACCAAGAAACCCTGCCTTGAATGATCAAAAAAAGTTAGGAGCTTCAATATAATAAAAGCCATGAATGACCAATCCACAGCTAACATCATACTTAATGGGGAGAAGTTAAAAGCCTTTCTTCTAAGATAAGAAATAACACAAGAGCTCTCGTTCTCACCACTTCTATTTCCCATAGTACAGGAAGTTCTAGTGGGAGCAATGAGCAACAGATGAACAAAGTAGAAAAGAGGAAGTAAAACTTCCTACTTGAAGGAGGCATGATCAACCATACAGAAAACCCTAGAGACAACACCCAATACTGGTAGAAGTAGCAAGCAAAGTTGTACTTGCACTCACAAAATTATCATACAAGAATCAGTTGTGTTTCTGTGATGCTGAGAAAATTGGGTGCTCACATGTAAAAGAAAAAACTGACACAATATACAGAAATTAGCCTGGAATAGATGACAGACTCCAGTCTGAAAGTGTCCAACCTAAAGACATGTACAATAGATGCTCCTTGACCTCTGACAATGATTTCTTGACTATGAGCTCAAACACACAGCAAAAATAAGCAAATGGGACTATGCCCAAGTAAAAGTATGCTACATATCAAGGGAAAAGGCTGACAGAGGGAAAGGACAATAACCTGTGATGCAGGAAAAAATATTTGCAAAGTATATATCTGATAAGAGGTTAATATCCAAAAATGTGTAAGAAACTCATTCAGGACCTGGAAAAATTGCTCAGTGGATACGAGTGCCTAGTGCACTTTCAGAGGACCAGAGTTTGAGTCCCAGCACCTGTGCCAGGCAGGTCACAAATGTGTGTATCTCTAGATGCATGGGACCCAATGCCTTCTTCGGGCCTCTGTGTACACCCACAATTGTGTGCACATAACCACAGTCATATATACATAATTTAAAATTAAGAAAGTGGTCTTATAAAAAAACACATAACTGAACATCAAGGAAACAAACTATCAGAGTATTTTAATTTAACTTTCTTTATTTCTATATGTTGTTTCATGTATATTTTACTTTTATAGTGCTGTGATAAAAGAAACACCATGCCCAAAAGAAACTTAGGGAGGAAAGGGTTTATTTGGCTAGCATATCCTGAATCATATAGCCCATTGAAGTAAGCCAAGGTAAAAACTTAAGAACCTGCAGGCAGCAACTGATGCAGAGGCCATGGAGGAACACAGCTTAAGTGGCTTTCTCAGCCTGCTTTCTTATAGCACCCATGACCAACAGCCCAGGGATGGAACCACCCACAATAGGCTGGGCCCTCCCCCATCTATCATTAATCAACAAAATTGCCAACCAGATCTTACGGAGGCATTTTCTCAGTTGAGGTTCCCTCCTCTCAGATGACTACAGTTTCTGTCAAGTTGACATAAATCTATCCAGCACAATGCATAGTCAATTCAGTCATTTTATTGGAATTCCATTGTGCAAATACACTGCAACTTATTGATTCAACATTTTCTTTATTCTTAAGAATTTCATACATGTATGCAATGAAATATGATCTTATCTACCTCCATACCTTCCTCCAACTATCCCCCCTTCCAACTTTGTGCCTGTTTTCTCTTGATAGTCCAGAAGAACAGTGAGTGCTGCCCGTATGTCCATGGGTGTGGCGCTATCCAGTGGAGCACAGGAATCTTTCCAGTGGTCACAGCCTGAAAAAAGTATGGTTCTCTCTCCCTTATCTGTTATCAACTGCCAATAGCTTCACAGTAAGGGGTGGGGCCTCGAGATCATCTACTCCATCTATGCCAGATTTTGGCTGGCTTGAACTTGTGCAGGGCCACTGCAGGTAAGCACAGCTGCTTTGAGTTCATGTGGGCAATATCCATGTCATGTCCAGGAGACAGCAGTCCTCTCCCTCCCCTGACTCATAAATTCTTCCTGCTTTCTTTTCATAGATGTTCCCTAAGTTTTAGAGGGGGTTATCTAATCTTCTGTCACTAGACATTTATTTGGTTGCTTTCCAGTTTGAGATGATGACTAGCGTGGCTACAACCATTCTCCCCCCTTTTAAATTTAAATTAGAAACAAGCTTGTTGAACATGTCAATCCCAGTTCCCTCTTCCTCACCTCCTCTGCCCCCCAGCAATTCCCTATCCCATCCCCTTTCTGCTCCTCAGGGATGGTGAGGTCTTCTATGGGGGATCTTCAAAGTCTATCATATCACTTGGAGCAGGGCCTAGGCCCTCCCCGGTGTGTCTAGGCTGAGAGACTCTAGGCTCCCAAAGTCAATTTGTATACTAGGGATAAATACTGATCCACTGCCAGAGGCCCCATAGATTGCCCAGGCCTCCTAACTGACACCCACATTCAGGGGGTCTGGGTTGGTCCTATGCTGGTTTCCCAGCTAACAGTCTGGGGTTCATGAGCTCCCCCTTGTTCAGGTCAGCTGTTTCTGTGGGTTTCTCCAGCTTGGTCTTGACCCATTTGCTCATCACTCCTCACTCTCTGTAACTGGATTCCAGTGTTTAGCTGTGGGTGTCTGCTTCTGCTTCCATACACTATAGAGTGGACCACAAAAATGTCTCCTCACCACATAATAATCAAAAGCCCAAACATACAGAATAAAGAAAGAACATTAAGAGCAGCAAAGGAAAAAGGCCAAGTAACATATAAAGGCAGACCTATCAGAATCACATCTGACTTCTCCATGGAAACTCTGAAAGCCAGAAGGTCCTAGATAGATATTCTACAAACACTGAGACCATGGATGCCAGCCCAGACCACTATACCCAGCAAAGCTTTCAATCAGTATAGATGGAGAACACAAGATATTCCATGACAAAACCAGATTTAAAAAATACATATCCACTAATCCAGCCCTACAGAAGGTACTGGAAGTTAACTACACTCACAAAAACATAGGCAATAGATAACCCCACTTTACCAAAAGCCAAAAGAAAAAGTCGGGTAAATCCACACACAATACCACCACCAACAACAAATCCAAAATAAACAAGAATGAACAATCAATGGTCACTAATATCCCTCAATATTAATGGTCTTAACTGGTGTATAAAAAGATACAGGCTAACAGAATAGAATGAAGACAGAAGCCATCCTTCTGCTGCATAAAAGGAACACACCTCAACTTCAAAGACAGATGTTACCTCAGTGTAAGGGCTATAACCATTCTTGACTAGTCTGTTTATGGGATAGATTGGAGGAGAGAAGATGGTTATACAACAGTTATTAAGTTGCACTTTTTGGGACAATGACATTTTTCCAAAGTAGTTGCACAATTCTACACTCCTGAATGAAAGTTGAGTTTCAGTTCATCTATATCCTAGATAAAATTGAATACTACTGGACTTAATTTAGCCTATTTTATTGGTTATGTAGTGGCATTATATTGTAGTTTTAATTTTCATTTGATGTTGAACACCTTTTCATGTGCTTATTGGTCTTCATATATTTTCTCTCATGAGGATCTTCTCATATCTTTTGTTAATTTATGTATTCATTTTAATTTTTAACTGAATTATATGTATTTACTATGTACACATACTGTTTTGAAGTATATACATATTGTAGGATGACTGGTCTAGCTAATTAACATATTCATTACCTCTCACAGCTATTATTTTGTAGTGAGAACAATTTATATGTAATTTTAGAATTTTCCAAGGGTATAATATATTGTTAGCTATTGTCATCACATTGTACAATAAATCTTTGGAACTTATTCCTCCTAACTAAAATTTTATATCTTTTGACTAATTTCTCCCCAGTTGCCAACCCCTAGCTAACAACCATTCTTTTCAATTTTTTATGCAGATTTAAATTGGACTGTTTTTCATTTTATTATTGAAAGCATTCTTTATGAATTCTGTGTGTAAGTCCCTTGTGAATATCTTCTCACAGACTGGCTTGTCTTTTCATTTTCTTAATTGATACTGAATGGGCAGTTTTCATTTTGATAAAGCTCAATCCATACTTTTTCTGACCTGGGCCAGTTCAGTCCTCCTTAGGAAACCTAGTGGTTCCTCTCTCCTAGAAGGTCACGGTATTGATGCCAAACTTAGCAAAGACACCCAATAAATTTGCACAGCACTAAATCGTCCAGAAAGCCTGGAATCAGTGATCTTCCTACCTCAGCTTCCAGAGTAGCTGGAACTATAGGCATGTGCCACCATTAACACATTTCAATGATTAGTTACTTTTATGTCTTTCCTAAAGTAATAATGATAGTTCCCTTCGTACATTTAATTCTAAAATTCAGGTTTTTATCTTGTTTGTTTAAACCTAGGATTTATCTCCAAGTAATTTTTATATATGATATGAGGTAAGTTTTGTTGTTGTTGTTTTTTTAATTTTTACTATGCACTGGTGTTTTGCCTGCATGTATGTCTGTGTGAGGGTGCTGGATCTAGTGTTGCAGACAGTTGTGAGCTACCATGTAGGTGCTGGAAATTGAACCTTGGTTCTCTAAAAGAGTAGCCAGTGCTCTTAACCACTGAGCAATCTCTCCAGCCCTAAGGAAGTTTATTTTTAGCATATGAATGACAACTTACTCTAGCAGGGCTTTTTGAAACTCTCCTTTCTCCCATTACATTGTCACAACTGCTTTATTGAAACTTGATGAGCTGCATCTCTATTTTTGTTTCTATCTTCAGTAACTTGTCTTTTTAACTGTGCCTTATTTTCTGTTTTGCTATTGATAACTTGAAAGTAACCCTTGAAATCAGATAGCAAGTCTTCCAACTTTTTGTTGTTTTCTGTGTCCTAAGACAGTATCAGTTACTTCCATCATGGAATCAGTTGTGGTAAGACAGTTCTCAACCTTCCTAATGCTGTGACCCTTTAATACTCTCATGATGTGGTGACCCCAACCATAAAATCATTTTGTTGTTACTTCATAGGTATAATTTTGCTACTGTAATGAATCATAATGTAAATGTCCTATAAGCAGGACATCAGATGAGATACCTGTGAAAGGATTGTTTGATCCTTGAAGGGATGAGGCCCACAGGTTGAGAAGCACTGCTGTAGTGCCTGTTTCATTCAATTCCCTCAAAAACTTCCATGTGTATCAGCTGGTGAAAACTGATCTGTTCAACTCAGTGAGAATGGTATAGTCAATCTGATGTCTACTTTCAAAGGGTGTCTTAATGGACAAAGGTGATATGAATGGAAGTCTTACCACGTGTGTATCCTATCTGTCAAGGATCATATATATGAATTCCTTTTGCTTTAATCCCTAAAGCAGTTGGCTCATGTATTTTGTCCAGTTTATGGGGAAAGATAAGTCCACTTACATACAGTTGTTATATCATGGCTGCAAGCAGAAATTTCTTCACATTCATATTAAGCTGAGGAAAAATGAGCCAGAATGTCCAGTCATCACAAGGGAACCCACAGAAACAACTAACTTGGACACATAGGAACTCACAGACCCTTGACTGACAGCTAGGGAGCCTGCATGGGACCAACCTAGGTCCTCTACAAATGTGTGAGAGTTGTGTAGCTTGGTCTACTTGTGGGACTCCTAGTGGTGGAAACAGAGCCTATCCCTAATGCTTTGGCAGGCTCTTGGGGACCTATTCCTCATACTGGATTGCTTGCCTAGCTTTAATAAGGAAAGGTGCTTACTCTTTTTTGTATTTTTTTATTAGTTCAAATTAGGAACAAGCTTGTTTCACATGTGAATCCCTTCTCCCTCTCCCTCCACTCCCTCCTACCCAGGCCCCTCCCCCCACATTCCCACCCCAGCCCCATCCACCCTCCACTCCCCAGGCAGGGAAGGGCTCTTGACGGGGGCTCCCCAAAGTCCACCACATCATCCTGGGCCAGGAGTAGGCCCTCCCCCATGTGTCCAGGCCCACAGTGCATCCCTTCATGTGGGATGGGCTCTAAAAGTCCCTTCTTACACCAGGGAAAATACTAATCCACTACCAGGGGCCCCTAGAGT